CCGCGGCAGCCTTATCCCACGCGGTGCCGGCAGCGCGATTCCAGGCTGGGGCCTGATCTGGAACGGGCAGCGCTGTCCCAGGCAGCTCCCAGACACAGCGCAGGAGGCAGCAGGGCCACGGGAGCCTTTCCAAGAGGCACTTGGCACCGTGCACCCTGCGAACTACGTTTTGGCTACGTTTATTTTGCCCTTCCCTAGAGAAGGGGAAGAGGAAGCCATAGAAAACAATGATAAAAATCAACCCACAACCATGATTAGGAGATAAACAGTAAAAGGATGTTACATTTAAGATCCAATTGTGCAGCACGCTGCTCTGTGCCAACAGTTCTGGTGGCCTGGCTTTTTAACAAGTGTGAAATGTTTGGAGATATAATGCAAAAAAAAAAAAGAAAAAAGCATCTAACCAGCTGTGATTTAGATAATGTCAGCAGACAAAATAATCCACCTTACACACTGCAGAAAGGGAGTGTTAAAATGTGTTTCTGAACCAAGATGTAATCAAAAGCAAAACAAATGTTTCATATATGTGAATCATACAGCATGGTACAAAACCTCTTTCACGCAGGGTTTTGTTTTGTATTTTTGTACCAACAGCTTGCCTAAAAGTCCCTTTCAAAATGCTGTTACTTACTCGAAATCTGTCTTCCCACGAAGCCTGCAGGAGCTGAATCATCTCCAAGGGCGAGCCCAGCTCAGTGATGGTCGTCAGTGTGTCTGGGATGTCATTACTGTCCTGGTAGCAATAGCCATAGAGCTGGAAAAAATCAGAGAGGAAATTATCAGTGTTATATATCTTGGCATGCTTTTATTTTTCTCCATGCATGAGGTGCAAAGCAATCGTTTCTTACAAGGCTCTGAACTCTGCATGTTTTAAGCCCTCCAAGTCCACCCCAGAAAGCTTTTGCATCCTCACATTTGAGGAAGGCTCCCTTTAAACTCCTGAAGGAAGCTCTTAAAGTAGTTGGCACAGTCCCTGGGGCCATCACACGAGGCTACTTAAGTGGTTTCTGCGTCCCCCCGCCACACACACACAGGACTTTATACTATCAGATGTGCAAAAAAACAAGGTAATATCTAAATAAACCCGTGAGCACAAAGACAGAATTCTGTAAGAGGAAAATTATTTTAGCCTATGCAATATCTGGCTAAATAAGAATGATTTTCTGCCTAGAAGACAGTGCAAAATGTCTTTTAATGACACTTCCTACTACTTGTGCATTGGCTGGCAATGTGTGTTTAAACAACAGAATGGCTTGAATAAACTGAAATGCCAAAGCTTATCTTTTCCCATCCAAAAACTGTCTTTCACTGTAACTGATGGACAATGATTTGCAGTATCATTAGAGAAGGGCAAATAGTGCAAAACAGTATCTGAAAATAGTTTCTGCAACTCAGAAGAATTTACATGGCAACTTGAGCCATACTCCAGCTCCTTCTTGCATTTGCTTTCCAAGGACATTCAAATTATTTTTTCCTTGCACAAATCCTTGCACAAGCAGAATATTTAAAAGTTATGAAGAAGATGTCGGGCTTTATATGGAGTAAGACGATGCCTGACCCAGCTAAGGGGACAGCCGAACTCCTTGCCAAGCCCTGGCAGAAGGGCAGCTAAATGAGCCTGATAAGGATCTGACTGCAGCTTTCCAGCCAGAACAGCATGTACAAGAAATAACACTGAATGTAATCTCTGCCCCGAGTCGAATAAGCCATACAGTTAAAGGGCTTGTGTGAAAAAGTAATTTAAAAAAATGCTCCAGTTCCATTCATCTACCGCCTTTCTCTGAAAAATTAGACCTTTTTGTTTCCGAAAGCTCAGGGAGCTACACGGGCCCCCATGGGGACTCGGACGCAGCCCTGCAGTGGAGCAGAGCAGGGAGCCCCAATTCCCAGGAACACGGGGACCCGGCCAGCGCCCGCAGCACCGCACACAACCCCTGCAAATAGACCTGGAAGCAAGTGGAGCCTCAGGACGCCGACCCCGGCGCGCAGGGAGGCGAGGAGAGCTGCTGCAGCCAGCAAATGTGCAATCTGCTACGAACCGCGCTGCCAGCTCCAGCCACGGGTGTCTGCATTTAAATGGCATGAAAGGCTTCCAGAAATGCAAGTGAAGTAAACAATTATTCTTCTTGGTGTAAGAACGGCGCTGTATTTCAAAACAGCTGCTAAAACACAGACATTAAACTAAACAAAAAAGCGCTAGAAGTTTTCATTTTAAAACCTGTCATAAAGATTTTGGCACTGATGTACAATAAAGAATTTGAGATAGTTGCATATGGGCATCTGAAAGAGGAAAGTGTGCCTTTTTATTTACTGCCACAACCATGACAACAATTTCAAGAACAACCATTTATTAATCTAGAGTTATTTGGATTGGTCCCAGGGTTTGTTCCTTATCATCCAAGATAACATTTTTGTGCAGCTTACTTAAGAACAGTTAAAACTGTGCTGCAAGCTGTCAGTTCTGCAGTTATCCATTGGTAAAAAGGCCATAATGGACACTAACAAAGAACATAAGCTAGAAAATCAGGGTATCACAACTAGTGTTAATTCACAGTAACATGGAATGCACAAAAAGGTATCAACCTTCATTAGTTTTCACAAATGTTGGGAATGCCTATTTCAGGAATAGAAATAAGGAAGACAAATGTCAGTCAGATTTGATTATAAAAACATGATTCATAGACACCCATACCCACAAAATATGGCGAAAGTAGTCTCATTACCTATGGCTATCAACACATCAGTAGAAAGGAATTGCAGTGTATTTGTATGTAGACACTGCAATTCCTTTCTACTGATGTGTATTTGTATGTGTTCATCTCTGAACGAATCAACATAGTTATAACAGTGATTTAGATTTGTTCTCAGGGAGATGGCACTTTGCTTGTAATTTTTTCATTTTAGTATTCAATTATACCTTTATATGGCAAAACTCTTCATTGCCTGTGTAGTCATGTATTTCATGTATGTTTTATTATATAAGGGCCTACTTAGTTACTTCTGTCACTGTAGCAGCTTAAAGCTGATCCAGTTTTGACCACATGAAATTGTTCTTTATTCTCATAAGATTTTTTGCAAAAAAAGGATTGCTGAATTTAATTACTCTTACAAACTAAAGACACAGTACTGAGAAAGTTAGTGTAAGTCTGACTCAGAAAAAGTATATATAATCTGAATTCTTTATTGCTTTTACTTAACTGAAATCTCTCTCTCCAGATGTAGTGTTATTACATAATTATATAGAGTTACAGAAGCACAGAGGTCTGAGATATAAAGGATTTATTGGGCTGCATTTATACTTCTGTAAATGAAGTCCTCAGACCAAATGCAAAAAAGTGCACATGTAATTACATGGCCATACTTGTATGTACAATTATCATGATTACAAACTGGGCATGTCCCAACAGCCAATTAAGCATCTAAAATGGTTCCCATCCTGATGAACCACCATCAGAATACAGATGTTAGAAAATCTGGAATATATATAGATGCAAAATATTCCAGCATGGTAATTCTTACACCCTTCATTTAAGAAGCTGACTTATAAGATAGATACCCTTTTATTTAAAGGAGAAATAAAGATCTATTTTTAAGGTCTGAAATGAGAAAAATGGTTTGTATGCCCAGACAGTGAAGAAACAGATATCTGGACACATGCAGGGAAAATGAGTATAGCTGGAAGCCAAAGATGATACAAAACATCTCCACTACCTGAAATTCTCCTAGGATGGACATCATTTTCAGTATCAGAGTTACATGTGAGATGTATTCAAGAGTGATGGTTTTCATACGCTTTTTCAATATGGTTCCAATTAATCGAATGGAAAGAAACACAATCCCACATCTTTTTTGATATTGCATTCAAATACAAATATATTGCCACCGAGATTTTTTTTTTTTTTCATCAAATCTAATAGCAAACAGTCACAATATTGGGCTGCTTCCCCTTCTGTTTGGGGAAGACACCAGCCAGAGGGGAGATGTTGAACTGTTTTCACATTGTGCGCTGTAATCCATTTAAAGGCTCCCTGTTTACCGAGCTCTTCGGCAACTGTTTGGATTTGCTCTGCCGCACGGGCCCCCTCCTCCTCATCCTTTATTCCTCTGAAAACTCCCCCTGGCTCCAGTCATTTTAGGCGCACTGGGCGTACGGGGTCAGCCCCGAAAAAGTGGGATTGCTTTGTGGGAAGCGCTGTCGGCACAGCCCGCCGGCTCCCATCCCTTTACAATTCCCTTTTACTACAAATTATTGGGACAGAGGTGCCCCTTTCAGACAAGCTGGGGGGCCAGGGCGGAGGCAGAGGTCAGGCTCCGCACAAAAGCCCACAAGCTTACTGAATAAAAACACAAAATGAAGGAGCTTATTAAGCTGTCATCAGCGGGGTAAGTATATGCAAACAACAGACCCTCCCGCATCAGCCCGGGCACCCTCGGCGGATTTTGAGAAAAATAAACGTCAAGGCAGAGCCTGAGCCAACGTGCTGCATCGCATTTGCAGGAGCTGCTCAGGCGGGAAGGACACGGTGGACAAGATTTTCTCCACAATCACAAATCTAGATAATTCTGCTTTTTTTTCTCCTCCCTTCAATGAAGATGAGATTCTCCTGCTGCCAGGAATAGGAGCCTCACGGACACTATTCCCAGCAGTAACGCGAGCGACCACTCAACTGTGCTACACACACGTGAGCTCCAGAGAGCTAATTCCCTTCCCCTGCAAGCTGGAGCTGCCCAGACTTACTGCAGCAAGGCACTGACTTCACTCCTCAACAGAAAAGTCACACTCGCAGGGCAAGCAACAGTACTCCACACTCACTGCAAGCTTTATTTTCAAAAGTACATGGACACAAGGTTACCGAATCAAAACTGGTTATGGCAAAATTATAGCTCCTACTGACCTGGGGCCCCTGAGAAATAAAAAGCTCCCCCTGACATTGGTAGCCATTTAATGAACCATTTCTGCAAGCTGCTGCATGCCAAAACCAGAAGAGCCTATTTTAGAAGGTTTGATCAATATTCACAGATGCCCAGTTGAACATAAACCTTTACATGCCACCCACGTGTGGCTTCGCCCTCCCTTCCTGGAGGGCTGCTCCAGTCCCTGCAGGAACAAGCCACACGAGCACACTGCCCAGTGCTGCCATCATTCACCATATCGGAGCGGAGACATCTGTGCCACCCGGACGTGTAGCACGTCTCCGGGTTTGAACACCTCCTCGCATTGCCGAGGGCATCTGTGTACGTGTTTATCTTTGCCACTGCTGCTCAGCCCCAAAGCATCTGCAAAGCCACCGTGTGCCTTTCCCTGGAGGAAGGGCAAGTTCCTTGGATGGCCTGAAGCCAACCTTCCCACTGCAGAGTGCCTAGGGATGGTGCCCAAGAAGGGAACTGATCTCACGCCATCACGTCCTGCCAAGAGCTGCGCTTCTTTGGGAAAGCTCAGGATACAGCGAGGGCTAAGGCTGGGACTGCAGCTGCGTGCAAAAAGCTGTGAGGCACAATTTCTTCTGCTGACTAATACATAAACAAGGCAGGTAATTTAAATATTAATCTCTAAATTCACATCTCTGCCCAGGCTTTTGTTTATAAATGTATTAATAGCACTACATTTTACAAGAGTTTAAAGGAACCAGAATGTCATACCTGGTACTGTTACTAAACATGGGATTCGAGTATGTTAAGATAAAAACTGGAATGTGTTAATTAGAAAGACACACATACATATCTATATATATCTAACTGTATCTATGTTTATAT